CATCCATTCTGAAGGTTGCACCCGCGCCAGAACAAACATGCTCTGGAAGTGTGACACGGGTCCATTTGCTAGTGAGCCCGGCGCTGGGCCGGTGTAGGATAATGCGTCCTAAGACACGTCCTAAAGTGTCCTATTTGTCCTAAATTTACAGGGAGATTTTGGAGATGTGTCCTAAAAAGCGACTAATCTTTCGTTACTGAATAATATTCCTCCAGATCGTCTTAAAACTCAAATATTGACTTTTTCCGGACTATCTACGTAAATTTACATAAGAGTTACTTAATACTCACATTATCCAACACAACTTAAATGGGAATGGAAAACATATTTCGAGAGATCTGATTGGCCGGGATGACAAGCGACATTTCCATCGAAAGTTCTACAAGTTCATTGCTGACGCAACGTCAGCAACATGGCTACCCATGTTGCTCAGTTGTCTGGCAAGAGGTGTACGGCGGGATCAAGTGCCGCCACGCTGCACTATCATTCCATGCGCACCTGCCGTCTCTATAGTGAAGCAGACTCGCAAGGAGTGTACGGGGTGGTGATGTATACGAGGCCATACTCTCTCCATCAGTACCAGGGTTCTCAATGGTTTTTTTTGGGTAGGGAATTAATTATATTATCCACCCACCCAACCAGTGATCCGATGGGGTGGATTTATAAGGAACAAATTCAAAAACCCACCCACCAAAGCACCGAAAAAGTCCATCCTCCGATGGTTGGCAGTCTAAAAATAAATGTCACGAAACACCGCATCTCTTGTCTTGTATTCCCCTCACGACCGAGTTTGACGACATGAAGCCCCTGGTTACTTTTGCGGACGGCCTTCCTGCTGAGGCGTGTGACCAAGCTTATAAAGAGGCCAAAGTCGACAGCCTAAGGCGATACTGCAAAAATAGCGCACAATCTTACCGTTACTATCAAGCGTTCGAGCCTTTCTGCAAACGAAAAACGTTGGAAACAGCGTATCTACGCTGCTAGACATAGAAAGGCACCAGAAGCCCATCGCACAGCAGTCCCACTATCACCGCGCTCCTCTAATAGAGGTCGACGCCGACGCCGACAGTGTTTACGGAAATGCCTCTTCGCCTGTGATGTATCGTGAATTCTCTATACCTGGTGCTGGATATGGTGTTTTTGCAGCCGAGGACTTGGACCCAGGGGATATCGTTACATGGTATTCTGGTGATCTCATGAATAGTTAGCCAAGTGACAAGATATACGTCACCGCAATATCAGGTGGGTTTATTAACGGTCTGCGCAAGCCTGTCAAAGGAGAGGGTCTTGCTAGTTTCGTGAACCGAGAGACACGAGATATGTCGATGCAACGGGAAAAACTGTGAGCTCGTTAGTAGTTGGAGGGGAAAACACAGGATCTACGTGGAGGTGACGAGGAAGATAGAGGCAGGAGCCGAACTTCTTGCGCCTTACCGCCGCGGATAAAAATATAACTAGGTCCGCAAGTGGTTCAATCTTTATCTACTCAACATCTAATAATAAACGTATTCTTCGTCGTGGTTTTGACCGTCTGGATCTTCCTCGTCTCCGATGTTGACAAGCACGTCCTGGATATGCGTGTACTCGTCCAGCTCTTGTTCGTCCACCTTCTTGGCGTTGAAAAAGATGTGGACAAGTTTTTCAACGCTATCAGGGTCTAGTCGATTACGTAGCTTGGACTGAATAAATCCGTGAGTGAAGAAGTTTCGTTCTGCAGCAGACATCGACCTGGCACATCTAAACAGTTGTTTAGCGATGTCTTGAAGCCGGTTGAACTTCTTCAAACCGCACCAAAAATCGTGAACTCGAAGTTTTCGCTCGATGAGAAGCTTCCAGTGCCGTGAAGAGCTATCTCTCAGCTCAGCCACATATCGGTGGTATGAAGCAAGCTGGATTAGTACATCGTTCGCGTTGTCTTTGCCAAACCATTGCGACAGAAAAGACTCCACAGATGTCCGCGTGGACACGTCCATACCATCCCCACAGAACCGCGGATCGAGGAGATACGCAAGCCCATGTGCATCTCCATACACGAAATCAAACCTCTCGGAAACGATCTCTTCCGCAATTTTGAGCTCCCGCTGGGTAAGTTTGCATGCCGCAAACTCTAGTGGCAGATCTAAGAATATTTTATACACCTCTGATATGGGAGTGCTGTCTTTCTCGAACTCGGTGAGGTGCTTGTCAATAGATCGTAGTAGCACGACGCCTCGTTTCAACTGGGGGACAAAGTAACGACTCGTGACGAGACTGTGAGTAAATTTTCTCTTTTTGCGCTGTTCTTTTTTGTTGGCGGTCTGAATGCCTCGCGCCGATACCATTGAAAACAAAATCGACTCTGATGCGATAACCGTATCCAAACAGCTCAGAAGCGATCCCCATCTTGTGTCGCCATGGAGAACGAGAGCTCGTAGTTTCTTCTGTGGTGAAGCGCCAGTTGGCTTTCGTGAATAAGAAAACTGGTTGATGGGAAGCGACCCGATCCAGCCCTGAGACACATGGTCGACGACGGTGCGTCAGTGATTACGTCATCATCAGTGAGGATTACGCAATCATCGGAGTGGATCGACATGGTGCAATCATTTGGGTACACGATCGACC